AGGACATTGTCGTTGTAGATTCTGTAAAACCTTTATAGATTTATCCTGTCGGCACTGACAGAGACAAGTGACGCACTAATATGTGCATTGCGCTGCTCTGCGATCACTCAACACGAGAGGCCTCGACACAAGAGTGGATCTACACGGACCCGAGTCTCCAGTAACGGGACGTAAAAGACTTACATCCCACCTTGATCGGAATATTTTCTCAACTAAGAAGACGAAGATGAAGAAGAAGAAGAAGAAGAAGAAGAAGAAGAAGAAGAAGAAGAAGAAGAAGAAGAAGAAGAAGAAGAAGAAGAAGAAGAAGAAGAAGAAGAATTATTAGTAATATCTAATTAAGATATTATTAGAAATTTGTGCTGGGACTAAAGCATTGCTGTAGGACATGATGGAAAGGAAAGCGAATAAATAAGAGATTAGGCCTAAACGATGGGTCGCGCAAGGATGCGCTATGTCAACAGATCTCTTTAACATTAGACAGTGAAACAGTCCTGGTAAAATGTCCAGATCTCAAAGTGAATTGGGAAAGAATTAATAACATCTGATAGAACTAGATCTATGCCGATGACAGTCTTAATAGCAGATTCAGATAAGAACCTTCAATCTCTTCTAGCTGGACAATCACTAAAGAAAATGGGTGGTTTCTAAAGAGACTGCTGCGAATTTTTTTTTTTTTTGGAAATTAAAAAAAATCTCAATTTGGAAGGTCTTTTTTGTTTTTTGTTTTTTGTAAAGTGTTTTACGGCGCTCGCAACTGCATAAGGTCATATGAGCGCGCGGGACACACCTAATATTTTCAGTTGGTAGGAAATTTTGAATTTTGCCCGGGTGGCGGCCGAAGCCTACTCTTATCGATTTTAGACCACCAAGGGACCTTTAACGTGCGCAACTTGCACACGAGCCCTCCGAGATTTTTCGCCCTTGTCCGAGAAGGCTAGGTGTAGATCTTTCCTACCAGAAGATCAGGGGTGTGGCTGAAAGACTGCAGTGAGAAGTAGCGAAGGAAGAGCAGTAAGGCTGCAGAAAGAATCAGGAGCCCAGAGGGACGGGCAAAGGATGTGAAGGGGTGGGGGCAGAAAGAGGGGACAAAAGCAGACGACAGAACATTGCTAGAGAGCAGGAAATGAGGTGAAAGGAGACAAATTTAGAGAAGAAAACGTTTCGGTCGCTACCCGGATTCGAACCCGGGACCTTTTGAGCGAGAGGCCAACACCTTAACCTCTAGGCCACGAGAGCTCCCTTTGGAAGGTCTGGTACTCGCAGAAGCCCACGTGAGCGGCTCACTGAAAACAACAACAACAACAACAATAACATTAACAACAACAACAACAACAAAAACAACAACAACAACAACAACAGCAACAACAACAAGGGCGAAATACAAAATGCAGTTTCTGAGACATTTGAATATGTGAGGACATAAATGCCTTGGACATCTGGCTCCCATGCAGTTGCAAAATTGAAGGCAAACGAGACAGATGTAGGCCTAGACACAGAGTAACCTACTTGGAGAGTGTTTTTTTGTTTGTTTGTTTGTTTTTTGTTCTGTTTTGTTTTAATATTTATCATGTTTTTTGTATTTTAAAAGCAACCGAACAAATGAATGAATGAAGAATGAAGAACTATGACCACCGATGTCAGCTGCAGATCTCTCACAATGATGATGATGATGATGATGATGATGATGATGATGATGATGATGATGATGATGGTCATGTGTCTTGTTAATCAAGTGACCACACACTGTAACCGAGTTACCGACTTGCTGGAGAATATGGGGGAGTAAAGTTATACACCCGACTACTAAAGGCCCAATTCAACCATAGGAGTTATGATCAATTTCTGAATAACTGAATGGGCCGGAAGAAGCACAAGACAACAAGATAAAGTCAAACTGAATCGGTTAATATGAAAAGCAAACGAAAGCCGTTCCGTGATGTTGCTTTGAACCAACCTTTACACATGTTGCGCTCTCTGCCGTTGATAAGAACTATTAATTAGATCCAAAGCAGTGGCACAGGCAATTTCTTAAGAATGGTTAACGCAAAAGACTTTAAAAGATAAGAATGGCGTCGTGTAATTAGATATGTGTGCGTGTGTGTGTGTATGTGTGTGTGTGTGTGTGTGTGTGTGTGTGTGTGTGTGTGTGTGTGTGTGTGTGTGTGTGTGTGTGTGAGAGAGAGAGAGAGAGAGAGAGAGACAGAGACAGACAGAGAGAGAGAGAGAGAGAGACTGAGACAGAGACAGACAGAGAGAGAGAGAGAGAGAGAGAGAGAGAGAGAGAGAGAGAGAGAGAGAGAGAGAGAGAGAGAGAGAGAGAGAGAGAGAGAGAGAGAGAGAGAGAGAGAGAGAGAGACTTGACATAAGTAGGACATATAGCGCCAGGAATTTTTGACCGCACAATACAAGCACGGACATACTTATAACCACTTTGTCCACATTACTAACAACAGACATTTATTGCTTCCCATAGATAAATCCCAATAAAAGATGATATTAGGTTATTATTGAATCGACTCATAGGTAGACACACCTTTATGGAAGGGAAAACAGACCTGAAAAAAAAAAACGGTGCAGAGGAGGCAAATATAGGGAAAACTGCCCCCCCCCCTCCCCTTACCCCTACCCAAAGTAAAAAAAACACCCCTCCACAAAAACAAAACAAAACAAAACAAAAACAGCAAAATAAATAAATAAGAAGAAAAATAAAAATAAAAATCGTCCGCTCATAACTAACCTACTTACAGTTCCAAAAGGTTTTTTTTTCCGTTTTGATTTTTCCCCATTTTTTGATGAAAGGGTTTTACGGTGTTTTCTTCGGCCTTTCAGAAGCTCTCTGCTAGTATCCCACTATTCCTTTTCAAAGATTTCATTCGGTCTGCGTTTCTTTCCACCACTGGTTATATGTAATACATACATGTAGGCTATTATGTACATGCACTTCCAATTCTTATTAATTATTGCGTTTCTGTCGCTTTCTTTGTGAACATGTTTGTGTGTGTGTGTGGGGGGGGGGGGGGGGGGGGGGGCTCTCGTGGCCTAAAGGTTAAGGTGTTGGCCTCTCATTCAAAAGGTCCCGAGTTCGAATCCGGGTAGCGACCGAAACATTTTCTTCTCTAAATTTGTCTCCTTTCACCTCATTTCCTGCTCTCTAGCAATGTTCTGTCGTTTGCTTTCGTCTCCTCTTTCTGCCCCCACCCCCTTCACCTCCTTTGCCCCTTCCTCTGGGCTCCTG